TTACTCATCTTCTGGGGTATTTTCGTTTTTAGACAAAAACAGTTTTCATGTAAGAGTGTCTTATGCGTACAAACCTGTTGTACACATGGCTAAAAACAGTAATGGCATTTCAGATGTTGATAGTAAGATCCGGTGGATAACCTGTTTTGCGAGATTAGACGTGGGATTTCCAACACGAACACCATCTGTTTATTTGAAGCATTAAAAACTGTAATAATCAACAATTTCAGTTTTCCATTGACAATAATGAAGAATTATGAAGGCGATTCATGTAAGGCACTAGGTAACTTCGCGTTGCTTTTAGAAGAGTATTGTCTGAATAGACAACAGTTACCTTGTGATTCTTCACCGAGCTGCATTTTTCAAGTTGAAAAATCGGGTGCTGAAAGTGATGGATCTATAGATTTGTGAGAATTTGCTGCTGCTTCAACTTCTTTTTGTAATAACAATAACAGTCTATATGAAATTTAACAATTCTGTTTCTTCTTTGATTTTGAGTCACCCTGTAAATGTAGCTCTACTAAACTATCGGACCGCATTCATAGCCTACAAGAGAAAAAAATCTTCTATACTGGAAAGGAGGAAAAAAAGAATGTATCAACCTGATACATCTGCCCCTCTTTATAACCCGTGAAATAGCCCTAGTTCTAATTAAATTTCAGTTCAAGCTTCCAAAATGACTTCCAACAATATTAAAGTAGCCACAAAGATCAGACCAATGATCCACCGCGAAGTAGCCGATGGTCTAGAGCGTCTTTGGAACGTAAGAGTAAACTGCATATGGGAAGCCGATGAAAGTAGTCGCCATGGAGAGGTTTATATATTCGACCATGTATTTAATCAGGAATGTACAAATTCAGATGTATATGGATCTGTAGTAAAACCTTTAGTCGATTCCTTCATGGAAGGTTTCAATGCCACAATATTTGCATATGGCCAAACATCTTCTGGCAAAACACACACCATTTTGGGCAATAAAACAGATCCTGGGCTTTTCCAATTAGTATCCAATCAGTTATTCCAGCATGTGGCAGACCAGGTTGATAAGAGGTACTTGATTAGATGCAGTTATATTGAAATCTACAATGAAAAGATCAATGACCTCCTGGATAAGAGCAATCAGGGTTTAACTATGAGAAGATATCAAAGGAAATGTGCTGCTTGATGCAAGGGAAGCTGTCGTAGACAATGTTGATAAAGTTATGGAGAACATGATGCAGGGCAATAAGATCAGACGAGTTGCAGCTACTCGCATGAATGAGAGGTCATCTCGATCACACACGATTTTCCGGATTATTCTGGAGTCGAAAGATGCCAATCAGAAAGATGGACCTGTACATATAAGCTACCTTAACTTAATGGACTTAGCTGGTTCTGAGAGAGTTTCTCTGACGAAAGCTGCTGGTGAGCGTCTTAAAGAGGGGGCTAACATAAACAAATCTTTGTCAGTATTAGGAAATGTGATAAGGCAACTAAGCGAGGGGAAGGAGTTTATCAGTTATCGCGATTCGAAATTGACTAGACTGCTCTCACAGGCTCTTGGCGGTAATGCCAAATCATTGATTATCGGGAATGTTACTTTAGCTGCAGAGGAGGAGACTAGATCTACACCAGAATTCGCCCAAAGCACTAAAACTGTCAAAAATAAAACGAAAGTAAACATCTTGTCAGCTACAGAAGAGACACTTCAAGGATATCAGAACTTGACTCGCGATCTCGAAACTCGGCTCAAAAAGCAGGCAATTAAGCTAAAAGAGATGGATAAAAGCAAACAAGAGTATCTGCTCGAGATAGAAAGACTAAAAACGGAAGTATCTATTGTCGGGCGCTTTCAAATGGGAGCCTCGGCATCAACACCGAAAAAAACATTAAGACGTCATACTTTTGGACACTATGGCAACGTATCACCTAAAAAAGCATCCCTAGGGTATATGCCATTGAAAAATTATCCACCCAAAGAAGAATCATCCGGACGTGAAATGAGGCCTATTCAAGAAGAGACATATGAGGAGGCACTAGCCGAAGCAGAATCTGTGATAGCTGAAGACGTGCAAGTGTACTTAAAAGACAACGCAAAGAACTGGAAGAATCTTTCAATGAGCTTAGAGAATTCACTAAACTAGATAATCAGCTGGAGATTTTGGACCTGAAGAAACAGCTCACAGAAGCCAATTCTAAAATCGATCGTTACAGTCAGGAACTCCGCCAAGTAACGGATGCGTACAACGAAGAAATAGAAAGAGTTCAAAAAAATTCTCAAAAAGCGCAAGAATTTCATCGACTTGCAATACAGACTCGATTTTCTGGAAAAAAAATAATAAAAAGACTAAAAACATACGAGTCAGAAATAGAGATGCTGCGTACTCAACTGAAGAACCTAGGAAGATCAGAGAGCCCTAAACCATCTCTTGAAGCTCAAAATATTGAGTCAAAAAAGAAGGTTGCAGACTTAGAAGCTATGCTTGACGCTGAGTACGAAGATATGCAAGATTCTTTAAGTGCTGCTACACAAACTGATGTAACGATGTCACACATTGCTGAACTGCAAGATGAAATTGGCTTCCTAAAAGAACTTGAATCTAAACTGAGAAATGACGTAAAGAGTCTGATGGACGAGAGTAACCAACGTGAGGTCAACCACTCATTTAAAATCTCAGATATACGATGCCATAATGATTCTACTATAAAAGAGCTTCAGGATCAAATGGCTGAACTGGAATGCCAAAACGAAATCTGGATTATGAAAAGTGACCCTCTTTATAACCCGTGAAATAGCCCTAGTTCTAATTAAATTTCAGTTCAAGCTTCCAAAATGACTTCCGACAATATTAAAGTAGCCACAAAGATCAGACCAATGATCCACCGCGAAGTAGCCGATGGTCTAGAGCGTCTTTGGAACGTAAGAGTAAACTGCATATGGGAAGCCGATGAAAGTAGTCGCCATGGAGAGGTTTATATATTCGACCATGTATTTAAGCAGGAATGTACAAATTCAGATGTATATGGATCTGTAGTAAAACCTTTAGTCGATTCCTTCATGGAAGGTTTCAATGCCACAATATTTGCATATGGCCAAACATCTTCTGGCAAAACACACACCATTTTGGGCAATAAAACAGATCCTGGGCTTTTCCAATTAGTATCCAATCAGTTATTCCAGCATGTGGCAGACCAGGTTGATAAGAGGTACTTGATTAGATGCAGTTATATTGAAATCTACAATGAAAAGATCAATGACCTCCTGGATAAGAGCAATCAGGGTTTAACTATAAGAGAAGATATCAAAGGAAATGTGCTGCTTGATGCAAGGGAAGCTGTCGTAGACAATGTTGATAAAGTTATGGAGAACATGATGCAGGGCAATAAGATCAGACGAGTTGCAGCTACTCGCATGAATGAGAGGTCATCTCGATCACACACGATTTTCCGGATTATTCTGGAGTCGAAAGATGCCAATCAGAAAGATGGACCTGTACATATAAGCTACCTTAACTTAATGGACTTAGCTGGTTCTGAGAGAGTTTCTCTGACGAAAGCTGCTGGTGAGCGTCTTAAAGAGGGGGCTAACATAAACAAATCTTTGTCAGTATTAGGAAATGTGATAAGGCAACTAAGCGAGGGGAAGGAGTTTATCAGTTATCGCGATTCGAAATTGACTAGACTGCTCTCACAGGCTCTTGGCGGTAATGCCAAATCATTGATTATCGGGAATGTTACTTTAGCTGCAGAGGAGGAGACTAGATCTACACCAGAATTCGCCAAAGCACTAAAACTGTCAAAAATAAAACGAAAGTAAACATCTTGTCAGCTACAGAAGAGACACTTCAAGGATATCAGAACTTGACTCGCGATCTCGAAACTCGGCTCAAAAAGCAGGCAATTAAGCTAAAAGAGATGGATAAAAGCAAACAAGAGTATCTGCTCGAGATAGAAAGACTAAAAACGGAAGTATCTATTGTCGGGCGCTTTCAAATGGGAGCCTCGGCATCAACACCGAAAAAAACATTAAGACGTCATACTTTTGGACACTATGGCAACGTATCACCTAAAAAAGCATCCCTAGGGTATATGCCATTGAAAAATTATCCACCCAAAGAAGAATCATCCGGACGTGAAATGAGGCCTATTCAAGAAGAGACATATGAGGAGGCACTAGCCGAAGCAGAATCTGTGATAGCTGAAGACGTGCAAGTGTACTTAAAAGACAACTCAAAGAACTGGAAGAATCTTTCAATGAGCTTAGAGAATTCACTAAACTAGATAATCAGCTGGAGATTTTGGACCTGAAGAAACAGCTCACAGAAGCCAATTCTAAATTCGATCGTTACAGTCAGGAACTCCGCCAAGTAACGGATGCGTACAACGAAGAAATAGAAAGAGTTCAAAAAAATTCTCAAAAAGCGCAAGAATTTCATCGACTTGCAATACAGACTCGATTTTCTGGAAAAAAATAATAAAAAGACTAAAAACATACGAGTCAGAAATAGAGATGCTGCGTACTCAACTGAAGAACCTAGGAAGATCAGAGAGCCCTAAACCATCTCTTGAAGCTCAAAATATTGAGTCAAAAAAGAAGGTTGCAGACTTAGAAGCTATGCTTGACGCTGAGTACGAAGATATGCAACATTCTTTAAGTGCTGCTGCACAAACTGATGTAACGATGTCACACATTGCTGAACTGCAAGATGAAATTGGCTTCCTAAAAGAACTTGAATCTAAACTGAGAAATGACGTAAAGAGTCTGATGGACGAGAGTAACCAACGTGAGGTCAACCACTCATTTAAAATCTCAGATATACGATGCCATAATGATTCTACTATAAAAGAGCTTCAGGATCAAATGGCTGAACTGGAATGCCAAAACGAAATCTGGATTATGAAAAAGGTCGACGAAATCAGAAAATTGCAACAACTAATTACAAACCCGAAGCAGGCTGGCACTTAACCAGAACCACCTGTGCAGGAAGACGTTGCATTTTATAGGGAGCAAGTTGAGTTCTCCCAGAACATGTACAAAAATGAGATAATAGGTGGAGAGTTACGTATAAACCATAGAGAAAATCTTCAGGCAGTTAAACTAGAAATATGTCTACCCTTGTTTAGTGTTTACGATTATTGCAGGGTTTGGACAAAGTTTAGGGCTGATCCCAGTGCTCACAGTGTACAATTTTCAGCTGATAAATCTTGAATTCTGATGTAACAAAATCAACTAGAACTCTGAAAAAGTGATTTATCAGAAATCATGCCCTTACTTCCATGATAAGAGGGATTCGTAAAAATTATAAGCAGGTTGTGGCTTATTATCTAGTAAAAGATACAAGAATCCCAGATCTGAAAACGATTATTGTTCATGTGATCACAAACTAGCAGCGACTTGGTTTGTGCGTTGTTGGCACTATTTCTAATCAGGGCGCAACGATCAAAAACGCACTTGAGACGATTTGCTCGGAGAATACTCACGGATCAAGTCCATTCCATTTTATAGTCAATGCTCAGAGTATTTCTACAATTTGTGATGAACCACATTTATTCAAAAATGATGAAATGCTCTTATTGACATTAATATGAAAGTGAAGAAGCTGCACAGATTGAACATGTCTAGAAATCATATAATGTTGATCAGCAAACAAGACCATACAAAGAGCTATGTAAATTGAAACCCAGCCACTTTTTTTATAGATTCGTTCAAGAATATAGAAATTAATCCTTTAATGATATCGTCGGATGATTCGAGCTTTCTCAGTTATGTGGTGGGGGTCCCGTGACTTCTCATACGGTATGAGCACGTATACCTCAAACCACAGTTTAATTTAAACATCACAATTGTTGGTTTGACTTTGCGGTCAAATTTGATCCGAGGATGTCAGTTGCGTGTACGATTTGAACTTCCTTCACAATGGATTTTTTCGTTGTTGACGGATGAACAATACACTATAGACTACGCCGAGGACGACGCTGCTATCGATCAACCTGAACAACTTCCTATGGGCGACCTCGCTATGCCTATGGAAAAAACATGTACAATTGGTCAAAACGAGCGCCTGCAACTGGTCGATTATTACGCATTTACCTGAACTAAAGTCCGTGGCAACCAATCTGGAAAATAATAACCCTGTGACTCGAGAAATGCCGATAAATTTCTCCAAATATGTGACATTTTCGAGACACTCATAGAGAACTGTCGAAATTGTTATATTTCGGGTGAGTCCCCTACAAAATACGAGATGCTCGTGGGTCGATGTCCTTCCTGTGCCTACAAGAAAACTAAACCGAATAAGTATGGACTGATGATGCAAAGACTCACCACTACCTGCTCAATGCTTTCGTCTATACGAACAGAAATATCACAGCAGATGACTGGTTCACGTCAGTAGAATTACATGTAGAATTGCGCATCAACCAACTGACCTATGTCGGCAGGAAGCGTAAAAATAAGTAACAAGTACCCCAACATGTAGTTCCAAATAAGAAGGAAACACAGCCAGGTACTTCTAAGTTTATGTTGTACAGCCTTAGAGTAGTATCTTCCAAAACCAAATACACATGTTCTCGTATAGCAATCTATGCAGCATGATAACAAAATAGTAGAGGAATCAAAGAAACCTGATAAGATTCTATATTATTTTTATAACACTATGAAGGCGGGGTAATGCATTAGATCGGAAGTGTGTAAATTACAATACTGGTTAGAGAACGAGAAGATGGCCTGTGCTATTTGGTATCCAACCAGCTTCTGTAAATTCCTTTTTTTTCAGTCTGGGACTGAAAGTTCTATTAGGCGACGAAATTTTATTGTTCCCCTGAGGCAAACTCTAATTTAACTTCGTATGAGAGGACGTTTATCAGATCCAAGACTTCCTAGGGAGCTTCGTTCAGCCATGCAAAGAATCCAAAATTACCAACGACGAATAAAGTAAGCCGTCTACTTCTCAGCCCAGAGTTCTCGATCCTGATGCAGTTGATAAAGGGAAAAAACGATGTGGTGTTACATGACAATACACAATGAAAAAAATGTTCTACAATCTGTAATAAGTATGCAAAGTCACAGAGCAGCTACATTGTTTCGTGAAAAGTGATAAATGTGAATTATTGTACGTTTCCTTATACGAGAAAGTATTTGTTTTTGTTGTAGAATATCAACACCAAATATGTTGTTAAATGGCCCATTTTGTTAGTTTTTTTATGTTCATATTACAGTTCAAGTTTCGTAAATTATATTTGTTGCATTACTCATCTTCAAATGGGGTATTTTCGTTTTTAGACAATAAACAGTTTTCATGTAAGAGTGTTTTATGCGTACAAACCTGTTGTACACATGGCTAAAAACAGTAATGGCATTTCAGAAGTTGATAGTAAGATCCGGTGGATAACCTGTTTTGCGAGATTAGACGTGGGATTTCCAACACGAACCCCATCTGCTTATTTGCAGCATTAAAAACTGTAATAATCAACAATTTCAGTTTTCCATTGACAATAATGAAGAATTATGAAGGCAATTCTTGTAAGGCACTAGGTAACTTCGCGTAGCTTTTAGAAGAGTATTGTCTGAATAGACAACAGTTACCTTGTGATTCTTCACCGAGCTGCATTTTTCAAGTTGAAAAATCAGGTGCTGAAAGTGATGGATCTATAGATTTGTGAGAATTTGCTGCTGCTTCAACTTCTTTTTGTAATAACAATAACAGTCTATATGAAATTTAACAATTCTTTTTCTTCTTCTTGAGTGCACTGTTGGTTGTTTGTTTGAGTATCCTTGAAGGAAAGAACTAATTCGTATTCTCCAACCTAACTAATAGATCATGACTTTTTTATAGGTTTTTTTACGGTTTGTTATTGGATCTCAATTGTGTAGATGTTTTACTTCGCACCTCATGACCAAACTGTTGTGATCCATAAGTACACATGCAACATTCTAGTCGAAGATTGCATAACAACTAACCAATGTGTTAGGACAACAGTTCTGGTTGGGTTTTTCATATTCCTGGCAATAATCACACCAAAAAAAGGCGAAAGAAAATATCCAAGCGTCTTTAGTTCTGACAGAAACTGGGGATTGAGAAGCGGAATCTGAAATGCCATAAACAAGTACTCTGTGACAAAAATAAGTCGAAGAAACTAAGTCTTTGATTCACACTCGTCACACTCGCCGTTTTTGGAGCAGCCGCACAAAAAGCGACAAATCTTACAAAAATTACATCATTTTCAAAGTACTTTGCCATATAAAAATACCTGAAAATTGTATGTCGCCGTAACGCGTTCCCGAAGGGACTCGAAGCAACATAGAAATGACTTGGTTAAAGCACTTTTGAAATTAGAAAAGAAAAAGATATCATTGCTAGAAAAATAGGATATCACTGATGGCGATAAGCATCTCAACTTTTTTAATTCTTTAATACTACATGTCAGGTAAAAATTCCTTCACACAACAAACTGTACTTCGGGAATCATGTAGTGCCTTAATGAATGGAAAAATAATTAATCAAGTAATCACGACAAGATTTATGGTTTTAAAGACTTGGGATATAGTGACAAGCTAATCATGCCGTTACTTTTATGTCAAGAGGAATTCGTAAAAGTTATAAGCAGATTTTGCCTTACTATCTCGTGAAAGATACAGTTACTTCAGATCTGACGAAGAAGATTTGTCTTTAAGACTAGCTTGTTCTGATTGGTTACGCAAGTGAAGTTCGATTTTCCCTCAGTTCAATTATTAACTTCCACAATAATCACATTTGGCCCGAAAACAAACGACGCGCCTTGATTAACATACTTTTCAGAAACAATTTTCTTTTTATATTTGGATTGGAATTGTCGGCGACCATCTCGTTGGGTCTCATTCATCATCAGAAGATTTTGCGAACCTATGTTTATATTTATGAACTTTTTGTTTTAGAATTACTCAAAGAATCGCCTGTTAAGTTTGTGGTACATATCTAACACCATGAATAGTGTATGGAGGCATGAATTACAGGTGAATTATGTATTCATTGCAATACTCCTATGCAGGCTGTGATGTCAGGACTTACATTAGGTCAATCCCATCAGGGAACAAAAATGTTTTCTGGATTGGACTCTGTAAATGTGAAGGTGAACCATTTGATGATACATTCGGGTCTTGGACAGGAGTTATGACTCAAGGATGGGTTCCTTTGACGTTAAGTAGATTAGCAGCTACAGTATCAATAAGGCGGGCTATAGTGCATCTCCTGTGACATAATTTGCGTATACTCCAAAAGACATTGCAATGATTACGTTGGCGGAGATAATAATAATAATAATAATACCTCATAATACAAGTGTAGGTAATTGGTATAACGTATCGTATCAAGGAGTTGCAAACGTGACCAAAGGAACTATCTCTAGCTCAGATACTGCTAGAGCTAAATCACCTACTATAGTATGGTAATTGATGGTGATATTAGTTTTTCTCTTATGTTGAACGATATATATATTAGTGCAGTGAAGAAATATACAATTCAAAACTTGATGTCGCCATACAAAGAGGATTCACGATCACAATTTGCATACAGAAGAAATCCAGCTAAAAACCTAGATATTTTTACATTCATAAATTCCAAACTTGTTCTTGTGGAACGAGCAATTCGCAATAATATGAAACAAATGTAGAAGGATTTTATTGTGAGTGGTGAACTTGAAAGAAACTCATCAGAACTTCTATTCACCATAGCTTATATAAACCAGTCTTTATTTGCTTACATGTTATATGGATCCAATAAGACATCAGGCAATACGTATAGGAGACTTCATCTACCTAACGAAATATCATCCTGCAATTGCAGCACATCGAAGATTAGATAAGTGTTTTGATGAGTTGCCAGTACAGAATTATACTGTAATCATTTATCTGCACATATGTATAAAATTGAGACAGATCGGTATCGGGTTCAGCATGACTTAACAGAAATTAAAGCATCCACCTTATTCCCCACAGCAATGCAAATTTGAGTGGTGATTCCATCTTAGACAGACTTTAGGGTCCCATAAGCGTATATGATTTCGGGTCTATAATTTATAATTCATTGATTTATATCTGCGCGTCCATTACAAGCGAAGTAGCAGTCAAGATGTATATAGCTTCCTGTTAATATGCGACATCTGAGTCAATAAAGCACGTATGCTTCTGACGCCTCTATATTCCATACATGTTAACAGTAAGAAATTATAATCGAGAAGCAGGCTTTCAAAGGGCGTCAAGTATAGTTTTTATGAAATTGGACAAAAGATGTCTCTGGAATGTATACGTTTATCTCCATGTATCAACGGGCGCTTGAACACTCAAGATGATCTTAAGTCATAAACATAATACCAATAAATACATTAAGACTTTCAAAGAGCAAATATTTATGCCGTATTGGACAAACAAATACGACTTTGTTACATTTGTTACCTCAGAAATCCTTTTTGTTTGTCCAATATCTTTTTTATAGGCGGTTAGTATAGCCTTTGGGCACGTGTCGTACTATTTTAATCGTGTCGTAACTTGCACAGTTGGCAAAGTGTTACTCATGGATGAAGACCATATAGTTGATTGAGTCAACGGAGGGCAACATCACGGCAGCGACAAAGAGAGATAAGGCTGGTGTATTAAATTATGTTATTTGAGGGAATCTTCTCACAGTTTGTGGTTTCGTTTTTGGATATAGCGATCCTGATCCGAACCTTGGCGGTTTTGAAGTTCACCGTATGCATGGCAAAAACAGAAAACTTGCATGTAAAAATATACCTATCGAAAGTCTTAGACGCTTCCGAGAAAAGTTTTACTCACAAAAAGACAAGGTTAAACAGGATACGACATTGTCTCATTTGATTGAAATTGGAACTCCTAAGCAAAAAAACGATGAGGCTAAGCATCTGCCAAGAACCGTAATATCACTGGAGCTCCATGGCCAAGAAAACAATTTGCCAGACAATGTTTTTAAGAGTTTTTGATATTGGTCAGAAGCACATACAAACCATTTCTGGGCAAATGAAAGCTGCATCTGGTATTGCTTAACATTTGTTAAAGCGCACAAAAGTAAAAGCATACATTGCTAACTTAAAGGAGCCAAGAGATTAACTACAAAAAGGCGAAAGCTAAAAGAACGTATTTATTCTCAGAGTGCATCATAACCATATTGCACAGAATATTCAATTAAAGCATCGAATAAAGATATAAAGTATTTTAGCGGTTTTTTTTTTCGAATGACTTTAACATAGGATTCGGTAACCCTGTCATCGACGTTCGCGGATTCTGTAGGCAGCAGCTAGGCCTGCTATCTTTGGTGAAAGTCCAATGTGAAGAGCAGACCGTGATTACAAATTTAAGAGTACATAAATTGAGTGCTAATCATTTTTTTCATGGTGCAGGAAAAACGGTATGGCATTCTGCTTCGATTTTTAGCAGGTACAATCTCTCCCTAAAGTCCCGATTTCAGAGATCTTTATGTTTTTCTTATCACATACCATGCAAACAATCAATTTTTTATTCATGGCTAGAACACCAAGCTAGAAGGCGCGCCACAGAAGTTGGCTCTGCCATTTACGACTTCCAGAATATGTGTTGTTTTCCGATGACTGTGGAGGCCAACACAAGAACACCCACATAGTTCACATAAAAGGAAGATCCATAAACAAATGATGTGCTTGTATAAAGAGGCTTCAAAGAAGCTACAATTTATTAGATTGATTTTCCCAATAAGATATCATTCATACTGCCAACGGACCGCACTTTTGGACGATGTGAGAAGCTTATTAGATCCCAAAGCACACAAAACTTGCCAGAAAAATACTGGTAGTTGTATCTTCAATTTAGTTAGTTCGAAAACTTGGGATTGACTGAGAAATATAAGGCTTGAAATCCGCTATGTCAAAACAAAATGTAGCTGAAATAACAGAAATCTTTTAGAGAAATGATGTTGCCAATGCCAAATATCTTGTTACGCCTTTTT